TCTCAGGCATTGTAATAGGCTGCCCAGGAAAGTGGTGGAGTGATTAAATCCCTGAGGGATTTAAGAGACAGGTAGATGTGGTGCTTAGGGACATGGTTTAGGGAGGGACTTGGCAGTGCTAGGTTAATGGTTGGACTTGATACTAAAGGTCTTTTCCAACCTAAATGATTCTATGATTCTATTTGGTGACTCTACGAATTGCTGGCACTAAGCTGTGCCTGCTGTAACTTTCCTTCTCTGCCTCCTGTTCAGGAAGATGGGGGTCTCGAGGGCTGTGCTTACAGCATCCCGTTGCCTGAGCTCTGCTTGGATGGAGAGAAGGTTGGAGAGCAGCGGTTGGCTGGAGGAGCGCAGTAAGGCAGCGGAAGCAATGGTTTCTCCGGCGAAGGCTCTGCTAGATGGCAGCCGAGGTGAGGGAGATGCAGCCTGTATCCTCACCAGCTCCCTGCTACCCCAGCCCAAAGTCCTGGACTCACAGCACTGAGCTGAGACAGGACACAGCTCTGAGTCCAGCCCAGCACACAACAACACAGCAACAGGCACTACATTTCCCTGTAACATCCACAGTTCCCAGCGTGCCCCTGCCAGCACGGCCCCCCTGGGCAGCAAACCACCCTGGTGAATGATGGGACACAGCCCACGCTGGGCCTCCTGCCTGGATGCTGCGTCCAGGGAGCTGACCCTGCTACCCTTTCTGCCTTGCCATAGACTCAAGTGCACTGAGCATCCCTGAGAGAAGCCAACTGCCCTTCTGGCAGGTGGTGCATCCCTGGAAATCTGTCTCCCAGGTGTTTCAAAAACTGCTTCGCAGCAGGGCACCGATGCCAGCTCAGATACAGACCAACTTGTTCTCCCTCCGTGAAAAGACACAGAATGTGGCCAAACCACCCCTTCAGCCCCTTCCATCACAAAAACACTGCTGCTCCCTACAGACCCCCTGCCCTACAGCATCCTTTACCCCTTCCCAATTCCACAGCACTTGGACTCACGGCTCCTGCTGCAGCCCACTTGGCAGAGAGCCCTAACACATCCCCAGGGACCCATCCCTCTGCCCCCTTCACCTCCCTGTGCATCCCTCCCCGCTCACCTGCTGATGCCCTCCTCCTCCCCCACGCAGAGTTCAGCCTTTGCAAGCTACTCCCCCGCTTTGTCCTCCCCAGCCCTGAGCTCCCTGTTTAATTTGGCACCCCGAGCATCCCTGTTTCATCCGGCACCTGGCTCCCCTGCCGCACGGAGCCGCGGTGCCTGGCTGACAGAAGGAAGACTTCATTCCCACCCATGTGCACTGCACTGAAAATGGTTTCCCGCCCTAGGAGAGAGGAGTGAATGGAAGATCATCTGTGCTTGTCAGGGAATGGTAAACTTAATTATTAGCTGAGTGTGTTTACAGGGGAATGTGTGGGAAGGGAAACAACAGGCTTAATTAGAAATCAATGAAGTTCTGCCTTTTAATTGAAGGCGCTTTAGGCAGGGTGGGGCTTGTGAGAGCTAAGAGCCCTCATCCTACACTCTGCCTGCTGGAGTATGGCAACCTGGGGTCAGAGGGATGCATCTGACTCTGCTTTTTGGGGATCTGCTCTCAGGAAGTCCTGCCCTGGCAGAAGTGCCTGGAGCGAGGCTGCCTGATGGGTACTGCAGGCGCCTGCATGCTGCCTCCTGCCCGGGTGTCCTGCTCTTCAGGCAGCTGTGCCGCCCTGGAGCTGTGCTCCCCGCGTGGCAGGCCCTGCACGGGTCTCGGAGGGTCTCTCTTCCTCGCTTAGCAGAGAGCAGCCCATTATTTTACACTGACTAACTGCAGAGCGAACAACTCGGGGGTCACCAATCTTATTTCACAGCTAAACTGTCCCCGTCCTCGCAGGCGGGTAGCAGCCGCAGCTCCAGCCATCGGAGTTTGCCTTCCCTGGCTTGGGGAATGACGTGACCCCTCTCCAAAGGAGGGGAGGGCAGAATGGCATCCTGCAAATGCTGGGGACAGCCGCTTGCTGTGTCACCCTCGGTGTGGGACAGCGTGTCCCTGTGCCTGAGCTCACGCCTCTGGGAGAGCAGCCCCCTCCTGCCAGCCGCAGGCGACAGGGCCGTGTGTGCTTGAGTACAAAACTAACTTCAGAGGGGTTCCCTGTGCGGGATAATAGCGGTGCCTGGGCTGGTAATTGAAAATTATTTATTCATGACTAGATAAGAGTCAGTCACATTTTCTGCCAAATTTACCCATAATGTTTATGCCCCATTTTCAAGCTCTGTAAATCTTATGCTGAAGCTGATGCACTCTGGCACTAAAGCAGATAAGAGATGTTTTCTTCTGGCAGTGCTTGCTTCTCATTAAGTTAAGGAGCACAGTAATGTCCTGAACAGCCATTTATTGCAGCTTTGCTGAGTGGTTCCTGTCCCTCCCCTTTGATGCCCTGTGCCCAAAAGCAGCCGGGCACCTCTCCTCAGCTCAAGCGCTGTGCTCTGCTCCCAGCCCCACTTGCAAGCTCCAGACGGCATCGCTGCCAGCAAGAGGGCTGGAACGGGACATGGCTGCCAGGCCCCTCTATCCCAGGGCCCTTGAGCACCGGCTTCTTCGCAGCCCTGCCCGGGGAGATGAAGTGCTGGGGGAATCACACCCCAGGGGGGGCTGCTTGGTGCTCTGGGCTGGGACAGAACAAGTCATGGTGCTGCTCTGGGAGACCTCGCTCTGCCGGGCTCTTGGGGATAGCCCAGGGTAGGAGAAATCCTGCTCTAATACCTCTCTCGTGCAACAAACCCCGTCTGGGAGACACAGTGCTCGCAGCTTCAGGAAAGCTGATCTACAATGTGTGTTTCTGAACTGCCACCAAATGATTCTGAAACTGATTGTAAAGCTTTGAAGGCAGCTAAATTGCACAATCCAGCCATTTCTATCCTTTATGTGCCTCTCGCTTTGTGAAAACATGAAAAAGGGAGGATGATTTGGACCATCAAGCCAGCTGAAATTGCAGACCATAAAAGCTGATGCTCTTTAAAGATTTTTTTCCCCCTGCAGCTCAGGAGCCCTTTAAAGCAGTGTCACCCCTACAGGGCTGCAAGGCTGCTGCTGGTCCCGGTCGGCTTATCTACACACAGCACTGCCCAGGGCGACTTGGGGAGCTTGGCTGGGCAGGCGGCAGAGCCTGCTCTGCGCTGGGCAGCTCGCCATGAGGCCCAGCTGCTCCCCCCCAGGCTCTGCAGCTGGACAGTGCTGTGCCTGTGCTGAAGCCCCTGGGCGAGGGGACTTTCAAGCGAGGTCACCCGTGGATACAGCTGTGACACCATGTGACGGAGCGGTGCCACCCCACAGCAACGTGAACGGCAGCAGGCAGCAATGCTGCAGGGACCCAAGGGGTTGCAGCAGATGAGGTCTGAAGGCTCTGGAGTGGAGTGAACTCATTCTGAAAGCTGGGAGCAATGGGCAGTGACTGGGATCAGGATCTTCCTTGGTCCCAAAAAGGTGTGCTCCCGAGTGAGCTCTAGCCATCACCAAAAGGGCATGAGGAAAAGCAGAGCAGGAAGGTGGCCAAAAGCCATCCTGCCTTGGGAGATGCTGAAGAAGCCAACAAAAAAGCAGAGAAAAAATCTCCAGCCAGTCCGCGTCCCAGCTCCTCACCAGGGCCCTCCTGTGAGTGGGTACCTGGAGGCACAGCAACACACCCAGGGAAGCCCTTGATGTGCAGGGCTGGTTGGGGTCTGGAGCGGCTGGGCTTCCCCACTGCCTCCCCTGGCAACCTGCCTCTCCCACCGTGCATGAGAAAACTGCCCGTTCCTCATTAGCGCTGGGGATGTGCCAAAGAGCCAGCAGGACACGGGCAGGCCGTGTCAGGGAGTGATTGCTGGGGTCTGGTCGGGTCAGCCCAGAGCCCCTGGGCAGCATGCCCGGCTAGGCAGGCTGCCTGCAGCTTCTGCAAGGGCTCCGGTCAGCCCCTGCCCATGACAGGGATTCACAGTGCCTGTCCTGTCACAAAATCTGACCGCTCGCACGGTTTGGGACAGAAACCAATTCTGCAGGAGGTAACTGCACGATGACAGGACAGGGAGTGTGCTGGGGGGAGATAACGCACAGCTCAGCAGCACAGGCATCTCAGGCAAAGACAAGTGCCCGTGGGGTCAAAGGAAACCCGTTATCTTTGAGAAACACGCACCTTGGAGTGCCTTCTCATAACTAAGCAGGCAGAAATTAAGTGAGTCAGGATTCCGGGCATGGATTTACTTGGCAACCTAAAAGGGCTTCTCCTCATACTTCAAATATACGCTCCGCCACTGAAACGTGAAGGCACAAAGAAGTCCCCATCAGCTGCAGAGAGGAGAGAATCAGCAGCTTCTGATCTTGCGGGCCCATGTGCCAAGCCCTGAGCCACAGGACGGTTAATTTACCTCCCTGCGGTGGGTGACGGTGGCCATCGGGCAGTGCAGGCAGGGCTGCGCAGCAGGAAGCACAGTGCAGAGCTGGGACACCTCCGAGGAACACTAGTTTTCCCTGCAGGCTGTAGGGCGTTTGTAGAGCTGGGGAAGCCCCATGAACAAAGACTATTTTTGGGCATGCAGGAAAAGCAGATCTGTTTTGCCACGGTGATCGGCTGTTCCAGCTGCTTCCTCCCAGCCAGCGTGGGCTAGGACACCACTGCGAGCGTTTCGGTGCTAGAGCTTCGCAACGGAGGGAGAGCATGCGGGCAAAAGTTTTAACTAAACCCAAACTTGACAGTTTCTGCTTCTCATGAACGAGCTTATTGGGCTAAAAATAACCACTGCTTCACAGCTTGAGCGCACAGCCCCTTCTCCTGCCGTTGGCATGGCAACACTAAAATATTCTGCAAGCACAAATGCTTGCCGCTAAAATTTTACTTGTAGGAATAAACTGAATCACAAGAGGCAGAAGCTGCCTCCTCCTTGGGACGGCTTTGCCTGAAGGGTGCATCTGTGCACAGGGGCACTTCGGTCACGGCTTACGAACTCCTGCTTCAGGGGCTGAGTAAGAACCTCTGCCACGAGACACCACAAGCATCATCTGCAGCGAGAGCTCCTGCTCCTTCCTCTCCAGCTCACGCCTCCCCATAGTTTGCAGGCAGCTTTGCATTTATTACATCAGAATATCTAATCTTGGCAGTATGAGCCGATCGTTTATACATGTTGTCATTGGACAAGGCACAAATTAGTCTTGTTATTGCAATGAGACCCCGTCAGCCATTCCCCTGCATCACCAGGGCCCTGCCAGGCTGCAGGACGCTGCTGATACCACCTACCCACTGCAGCTTCTCAGCTTCTGGGACACAGCCCCCAGGCTTTCAGGGGCTGTCAACACTCCCCATCTCAGAGCCTTCCCATCTCCCTTTGGCACGAGTGATGTGGGCAGGGAAAGGATGGGTGTGCCTGCAGAAGGCAGGCAGGACAGGGGTTAATGAGCAGCACAGTGACAGGAGGTTTTGCCTCACTGGGATATGCTTACAAGGCACTTGTTGCTGGGGTGCCTGCAGCAGTGAGCCACACCGCTGGACCTGCCTCTCCTTGGATGCCCTTACGCTGTCTGTGAAGTGTTCCCATCCCTCTCGCCTGTCCTCACCAGCCCCAGAAAAGAGATGAAGCACACACTGTACCCTGGACTTCTCCTCCAGCCTGGTCATCATGACTATCGTTGCTGTTCTCTGTTCCCACACCATCCTCCAGAAGTCGCTGAGGGTTTCTGGCAGAGGTCCTTGCGTGGCGATGTAGGCGTTCTGCTTCCGATACCCATCAATGTAATTGGCATTGATGTAATCACTGCCTGGGACCCCTGCGGGAGAAAGGGGGCAAAGTGTTACTCCAGGGGCAGCCCACGATTCTGTGCCTATGGCTCTGCAGGCAGGGGAAGGGGCTGGCATGTTCACAAGGCTCTTGACAAGCCTCCTTTACAGGGTGATGCCAGAATCTCACCCAGGGATCCTGCAAAGGACAGGGATGGTGCCTGAACAAAGAAGAACCCTTTGTAACTCCCACATTAATGCAACAAGCAGGCAGCACCAAAGCAGAGAGACAGCTGCCACCCGCACACAAAGGAAAATTCACAGGCAGGAATATTAAGGAGCTCGTTTGGCCCCAAGCAAGTGATTGAAATAATTATCTTAAATTCACCAGCTATTTGTTATGGTCCTACAGCACCTTTTTAAAAATGAGGCTGCTTCATTAGCTTGTCTCTGTGAGCAGGGGATGTCAGGCAGGGCCTGATGTCCTCACATCCCTCCTGCAGGGACCCCAGAGGAGCCAGAGACCATCCTCCCACCCCACTGAAACCCTCCTCATGCATGTGAAACCCCCTCTGCTGCCTGCTGGCACCTCCAGCTCCCATTCCTCCACCACTTTAAGGAAAGAACTTTCTTGTAAAGGCTTTTAAAATGCAAACACAGTTACTAAAATAAATGTGGCAAAGCAGGGGCCTGGGGCCGTGTTTCCAAACGCTGCTCAGCATGGTGCAGCTGCATTTCATTAGAGCAATGAAATAAAGCTGGGGGTCGCCCTTTTGTCCTGGGGAATTTTCTACAGGTTCCAGTAGTCTCCAGCAAAAATGAAGTGCTGGTGGCTCTGGGAGAGCAGCCGGAGTGTAGCGCAGCACAGCACCCCACCCACTCCCTTGGTATGGGCAGCGGGGACCTGGCAAGGCACTTTGGAGAACCAGCTGCATTTCATTAGAGCAATGAAATAAAGCTGGGGGTCGCCCTTTTGTCCTGGGGAATTTTCTACAGGTTCCAGTAGTCTCCAGCAAAAATGAAGTGCTGGTGGCTCTGGGAGAGCAGCCGGAGTGTAGCGCAGCACAGCACCCCACCCACTCCCTTGGTATGGGCAGCGGGGACCTGGCAAGGCACTTTGGAGAACCATTCCCAGGAAGACAGAGACACCACTTACAGCAACTGAATCAGGCTGGAGGACAGGGGTTCCCCCATGTGCTCATCCCACAGCTGCCTAACAGAGTTTGCCCATGATCAGGCATGCCAGGCCCTCCCACAGCTGCAGCTGCAAGCACAGGCCTGGCTATGAGGAACCCTTTGGACCCCCTCCTCCCCGGGGAGCACAGATGAGTGCTGCATTAGCATTAAAAAAAGACTCTTCAGTCCCAAGAAAAAGGACAATAATGACTGTATGCAAAGCCAGGTCCCAGTCTCTTCCCCAAGCTGGGGTACATTGAATTGGCTGCCCCTTCCTCATGCCCCACTCAGCTTTGGTGTGCAGAGCTGGGTGCTGATACAGCACTGGGGATGGGTGAGCCTGGGCTTCGGTACCTGGGCTCCAGCTCCTCTGTGTGCAAAGGGACTGCAAAGCACGGACTAAAAGCATGTATTAGCCCAGATTCCAGAGATGTGGGGGTGGTCCCTGGAGCCACTGGGGGTCAGTGCTATGAACACCAGAGCCTGATACACCTGTGGAGCACAGAGATGTGTGGAGCCTGATGTCCCAGGGGAAGAGGCACCCCTCATCTTGTGCAGTTCTGGACACCTACTTGGGTGCAAACACCAACAAGTCCCAGAGTAAGATACTGGCCCTACAGTCGTGTTGGGACAGAGGGTGGTAGGGCTTACAGTGCCACATGCTGAGGAAGGCAGCTGAAGTCACACAGCGGAGCCAGCAGTGAGAAGGGAGGCTGCTGGGACAGACACCTCTGCTGGCATCAGCAGCAGCAAGAAGCAATCACGCAGGACACGCTGCTCTGAGGACACTGGGAAAGCAGGGGCAGCTCTGCAGAGCGCTTCCTCTCTTCTTGCCAGCCAGAACACACTCAGGCTGATGCTGGTTTCTTGCTGTTTGCCCCGGCTCAACTGACAGTAGGGAAAAAGACGGTCCCCTGCTAGAGCCCAGTTCAGCCGTTTGCTGGGGTGCCCACCCGAGTCCCTCTTACCATCGATGGAGGTCAGGATGACGCGTGAGTGGTCATAGGCGATCACGTTTGCATAGCGGTTTTTCGGTTTATTCACCTCCAGGTTGGAGTTCTCCCAGGTGAACTGCTGCCCCGGATCAATGGACTGTGGACAGAGAGGGAGGGAGTCAGGAGCTGTCAGAGCACAGCGGGACACTGCAGCACACGTGCGTTTCAGTCAGGAAACCCGCATGTCCTCGCACACCTCTCCCCAGGCCAGACACAGCTTCCGCGGGTGTCCCCAGCAGCACTGTCAAGCCAGACCACACCAAAACGAAGTCCCCAGAGGGACCTTCCTCCTGTGATCTGCAGGCAGAGCAGCTCCTCGCTAGGGCAGTATGCTGCAGATGAGCCTTCACCTCCGCTCTTGCTGCGTGCTCATCCTTTCCTCTGGAGCTACCCAACAGCAGAAATTTGGTCTTATGCCAGGACTCCAGAGAGACCTGACTGCACGGTTCTTGACCTAGCAGTTTTATTAGCTGTTGAACTGCAGTTTCTTGAAATATAGCAAGCCCTGGGTGTCTTGTGCCCCAGGAGCTTTGGGTATTAGTGTCCTGCAAGACAGCCTATGAGCTTTTGCCAGGGAATAGTCATGAAAATTGATAGGTTACTATCCACTGCTCCAGCTACTTATGCAATGTAAACATCTCTTGTTTGAGTTAATAGAGTGACAAGAACTATAAACCTGGAGAAGAGACTTGGTTATAAATCTTGGCCGAAGGCCTGCGGGCCATGCAACTGCCTGAAAAGCACACATCCCGATCCCACTTGTGTCCTGGCCTCGCACACCCAGTGCTTCTCCCACTGCCCACGTGCTGGTGCACCCGGTGCACGGCTCCTCTGTGGCCAGGCAGCCCCTTCCGAAAGCCTTTCCTCACCTTTGTCCATGCAAGGTGAAAAGGACCCAAAGCACTCCTCGGAGATGGGATGGACTCTCTGTCTGAGAGACGTGAGGCATGCAGACTCGTGCAGGGACTTGCTCTGCACATGCAGCCCTGGGCAAGCCCGGGGCAGGCAGTTACAGCAGATATCAGCCATGAACCCCCTCCCCCCGAAATTACCAACACAGCCAAAGCCTTCTTCAAATCATGCTCCAGCTCAGCGTCCCCGAAGCTTTGCCAGCCCACAGGCAAAAATATTGAGCAAACAGGCCAGGGGAAGCACGGCACGTTACTCTCTCTGCAGGCATCGGCGCTCATGCCTTGGCAGAGAGCCATGTCA